TTATTTAATATCAATTTTAATAATTAATGACTAAATTTTACATCATAATTGCATTTGTGACAAATATTTTTTTGTGACGAATAAAATTGTTATAAATAACTTGTTAATAATGTCAATTTTTTCTATCACTATAAAATTATTTTCTGTGACAGGTGCTTAATTTGTCACTAAGAGTATTAGTGACAAGGGTTTTATTAACTGTTTAAATTTTATCACTAATAATAATTTATGATGAAAAATAAAGATTTAATTATCAATAATTTAGTCACTAAATGTGGATTTTCTTGTAGTGATATTATATAAGTTCTCAAATTTTACATAACTATGCCAAACTGCAAATTAATAATTATTGGATAGAGGTAGTTTTCAGATTTAGAAACTTAATTGACTTTTATTTAATAATTTAAATTGTGCAATCTAAATTATATAACATATCTTTAACATTTTATTATAAAATCTCTGTTTTTATTTTCATTTAAACAAATATAATTCATCTACTCCTTTTGGTTTGATTTATTGTAGTTGTCTTACTTTTTAAATATAAGTGTTTTATTAATTTAGTTGTCTCACTTTTTTTTTTTAATAAGACATTACTTCCTCTGTCTCAAAAATAATTGTTTTTTTTTTTTGGCTTTTTCTCTAAATTAAAGATTTGGAGAGAATTTATAAGTTTATATACAACACTCTTAAAAAAGAAATAAAATATAAAAAGATATTTTTTGTGATTTGATAATTAGGTAAAATGAATGGATAACAATAATGTTAAAATAAAAAAATATTTGTTTACGTTAAAAAAAAAAAGATAATTAGGGACAAGTTTAGAGTAAAAAAAAAAGACATTTATTTTGATAAAAAGAGAGTAAATACTAATATTTCAATTTTACCTTATAAGTAAAAGTGAATATAAAATGATAAATCCTAATTGTTATACTCCCTTTGTCCTCAAATATTTTCAGTTTTTTACTTTAAATTTATCTTAAATTAATTACTATTTTTCTAATTTTTTAAAGTAAATAAATTTTTTAATATATTTTAACCCTACTATTATTCATTTATTTTGATTAATTATCTTATCGCAAAAAATCTTACTTTAATTTTTTTTTAA